ATTTCCAAAAAAAAAAAATTCTATTACTAATCAAATTAGGTTATTCTTCTTTCTTGTATCTATTCATATATCTATTTTTTCAAAATTTTGACGAATTAAATCTCATATTTTTATTTGTAAACTAAAATTACAAATTTTAATAAGATTCTTTCAAATAATTGATTCCCAAATTTTGCAAAAAGTGAATTTATATTACTTCCGCCTCTGTTCTGACAGTATCTTTTATAGGACTTCGATGGGGAAAATGGCCAAGTTTCTCACTGCACTTCAACGGAGGATTTATTCTCTATTGCAAGAACAGGACGACTTTCTGATATGCTTCGAATGCTCCTGGATATTCCGTCAAGTACTCCTCTGGCAAAGATATTCATGTACTCAAACCGGTTTGCCATTGTTCTTTCCTTCAATCGTCACTGTTGGTTGCACATCCACTGTTTATAGTTTACTGTCTTTTCTGGACTGACTGTATTTTGCCTTTTAACTTGTGCTTTCAGTGATTTCCACAAGACGAAGGTGGAAATTTGCTACAATATTTTGGGATTCCATATTCAGTTCCTACCGCTGTAAGCTTCTTTGAAATTCTGTCTTGACTCTTATCAGTTCAAGAGTGTTCGGCCAGGGTAGTGTTCTCAGTTCAACTTTTATTTTACATGTGTAATGGAGCAGTTGGATATGAATAGAAGAATGTTGAAGCTGAGTTAAAGGACTTTGTCGGCGGGAGAGGCCTGATTATTATCTGTCCACTGAGACCATTAGAAGAACCAGGCAAAAGGTCAAGAAGCTGATACTGAAGTTTAGTGTAAGTAATTGGTGCCTCTTCTTTTTCCTTTGGTGGGGGTTATTATATACAAATGCACTGACGTAAATTATAACTGTTACCTTATATAACTCGAAATGATGGAACCTTATGAAAGAGATCTCTAAATGGCATCTTTTTTTTTTCTTGAGCAGGATATGCTGTGGCTCTTTGTTAGGGTTGGGCCAACCCTAACAAAGGAACGAGCTCAATTTCCCCCTCTTATTGGTCCAGATCTTATGAGTGGAGCATCTGACATGAGTATCAAGGTTCTAGTTAGTGATTTAGATGCATAACATAATTGAATGACTCCAACCTCTCCTCTCTTCTCTCCAAAGCTATACGCGGCTGGCTCTCGGATCGGAAACACAGCCTTGCCTCTACCTATTCCAACACTTACCCACTCATGATCAATCCCTAACTACCAACTACGGTTGGATTAAGGATGAGTTTAACTTATCACCGATCATAACATCTACTTCCTCTGCTTTTCCATCAAAGTCATGAACCACTGTAGCCGCCGGTTTCGAAATCTACCAAATGTGTGGAACCATCAACGATGAACGGCCGTCCTCGACTGTTTGTGTGCTTAATTGTCCGCCTCTTCTAGCCGTAATTAAAGCGTTCGGGGTTGAATTTGTCCGCATCTTCGCCCCAATAAATCTTTGCTATGATGGATTTAAAGGACAGGGATCCATCCATATAGAGAAACCTTTAGGGATGATGATTTGGTCCCCTAGTTTTAAATTATAGTAGCAAGAATTGTGTATATTTTTGGTAAATTACTTTTCTACAAGTGTCTATATATTTCAAACACAATTATGTTATCTGGACATAAACCTCACTATATGGTTAGACCAACATTATGTGGAGTCGTAAATCTAGCTAGTTTTGAAGCATTATTACAAAATTCCACAAAAGTGTTAAAATTGATGTCCATGGTCAGATTTGGGATACCCGATAGACGGACCTAGACGATATGATATCGACATAAACCTATCTCATTAGTGCTGAAAATATTAGTAGTGGTATATATATAACTGAACATCTAGAAAATCAAATATAATCGCGGTTACTAAATAATCGTAGTGGTATATTGTTGTTATTCAGTAAAGAAAACCTAAATTAAACTCAAAATATAGTTGCAAACTTTTTAATAATGAAAAGGTGAAAGAAACAAGAGAAGGGGGAAAAAACAAAAGCAATGAACTACTTATTTGTAATGTGGATTGAGTTAAAATTTGATATTGCAGCTTGGGTGGTTCCCAAACACAGTCGCTTTCATCTCGGACCCTGGTTCGAACCTCAACACAACTTCACTGCACGAGTAGCTCATTATTCCGGTTGTCTTGTGTCTGTAATCCTCCGAAATAAAAAGTCGCGATTCAAACTTCACTTCTTTCTTCTCTTTGATATCTTCCATAATTTCTTGTCCAATCAAACCGCCGATATCTTTTTCCGAAACAACCGAAAGATATTGAGGTTGGTAGTATTGGAGATTGTAGTATCTGATTAAACATAAAGATTCAATTAGTTTTTTATCCTGAAATTATGAAGAGAATAATATAAAACCGGTATGAAATAAACTGAAACTACAAAATAAATAAAACTGTTTACTTTTGTGGGGAAGAGGTAGCAAGAGTAATATTCTTGTAAAGAAAGGAAACTTGAAAATCTCCTTGAAGACATGAATAAGTACGAGGAAAATTAGAATGGATCCTTATCGACAAATCCCACTTTGCACTAAGACGAGTTTCTGTGATATTGAACACCGTGAAATCCATATAAGCTAATTCTACACTCGGCACTGGAATTACACCAGGATCTAATTCGCTCATAACAACTAAGTAGGCGAGACCACAAACCGAAGCGAACAATAAGACCTTGTCACATGTATTCCATGTATCTTGGTTTGCCATTCTGTCCGATTGATTGAAGAGAGACACAAGATTTGTTTTACGGAGCACAAGAATATTAATATGAGAGAGTTTGATAATGTAGAGATCCGTAATTAATACATATGTTTATATACACATACGAGTTTCGATGCAACTACAAGTATGATTAGGAAATTAGGATATAAACATTCCTAATCATATTATTAG